GTCCCCCAACTGATAATGGATAATGAAAATGTGATACATTTACACAATGGAGTTGTACTCGGCACTAAGGAAAAATGAAACAATAAAATTTTCAGGTAAATGAATGGATCTAGAAACTGTTATACTAAGTGAAGTAACACAGACTCAGAAAACCAAAAGATGTATGTTCTCCCTCATTTGTGGATCCTAGCACCAATTTCTTTTAAATTCCACGTTCTTTCAATAAGATGATGCTGTACAGCAGTCTCTTCTGTATGAAATAACTACCATCACCTCAACTTCAGCTGTGCCTGCTTGTTAAACATGTCAAAATTGGGCTTGTTGGCTCCTTCATTAAAGGAGGGGCAAACAGGGTCAGTGGACCCTCACTGGAGTATCCAACCAGTCTTCCCAGTCAACTGTATGTAATTTGGCACTAATCACACATGGTCTCCTGGATTTGGGAAGGACTAAAGCATATAATCTGGGGAAGGCTAGGAAGAAAAGGCTTGATCCATGCTGGGTAAAGGCTTCCAGTGTGTATACCCTCAGGTCATACATGCACCTCATCAACTCCTCAGTCATCTCTGTAAGTAAGCTCAGTAAATTCATTGGTTCCCCAGGAAAACTTTAATCAAACATTAGTTTGACACTAGAACCTTAAAACGGGATAAGCATTGCTTAGTATCCCCAGGAAAAGAATTCTCAGAACAAATGGAAAATTTATTTGTTAATGTTATTATGTCTCATAATTATTAAAAAAGAAAATGAGAATGTAAAAGATCTTTAAAGGATATGGGAATGGAGATATTTTCCAAAATAGAAAAAATGAGAAAGCCTAAGCAAGTGATGAGGGTCTGTATAGGTTTGCTATGATATATAAAGGATGAGACAAAAATAATATGCACTTAATCTCAAAATTTCTAAGATCATAGTTAGTCAGCTAGTTTAAGGAACAAAATATATGTCTAGTCAAGGTTTATCTGAGAATGTTTGGTTCTTGCTCAAGCTTTATCTGTATAGCACATGGTAATTAAAAGTACCAGACAGGTAGAACTAACCTTCTTGGATGTTTAACAGCCATACTTTGAGGCCTGTTCTAATCTGGTGAGAGGGGCTTAAAGGACAGTTTTTGCCCTTTGCCCTCCAAGGTTGACTAAGTTCCAGGGGACTAGAGTTTCTCTCAAAATGTCCTCTAACTGTGCTGAGTCACCTGTCCTGTTCAGGGAGGCCATGGAGACCCCACCAGATGGACTTGAACCAGTGCCCAGTCTACAAAGAGGAGGGTCAACTCAGAGGAAACATTTCCTCCATGCTTCCAAATGAAGCCAGCCACAGTCAAGCAGGACCTTTGACTTATCTCCACATAGATGGAACTGGTAAAAGAAAGGAGCCAGGGGCTCCTCCCAAGCCCATGTTATCCCTCAGGAACAGATCCTCAAACGATCTGAAGAGTAAAAATAAATTAGTTTATTTGTGACGGCTATATGGTTTTAAACACCCAAAAGGAAAGTATAACCAAAGATTAAAGCGATCAGTATATTTCTTTAAGAGTTCAAGGGATTACACTTCCCAGATATTAGGCTTAAGTCCATATAAAATGTTACTTAGACAATTGTTTCGCATTGATGATTTTGCTTCTAAGCAGAAAGTGCAGCTCAGATATAAGACTTCAAATCTTGGTCTGCAATACTGTCATGCCCACCTCTAGCTAAGGTAGACAACCCATTATTGTTCTAAAATGATAGCTAAATTAGTTTTCTCCCCCATCTAGAAGCCTTTGAGAGGGAACTGACACTGATTCTAACCACTCCAACAGCAAGAAATCAGAATGCCTGAAAGCAAATCCTGAATTCATCACTCTAGAGTCCAGTCTTGGCAGACGAAAGAAAAATGAGGAGGAACTCAATAGAGGGATGCTTTTGGAAGCCCTTGTCAAGAGTTCTAATGGACTCTCATATGAACATTTGAAATTTGCCCTGTTCTGACTTTTTTCTAGTTCCCTGTCTGGAACTTGTAATGCTAATCACTCTTGCCTTTACTTCTCCTTCACATCTCCTATTCACCAGTCAAGGACTTTCTTTTCTCCCTACAGATAAGAGTTGTGTAATTTGAG